ACTAGTTCATTTTAAAATGTGTGAACTGAACTTTGAACTAGTTCGTTTTTTGGAATTGTGAACTATGAACTGAACTAGTTCATTTTAAAATGTGTGAACTGAACTTTGAACTAGTTCGTTTTTTGGAATTGTGAACTATGAACTGAACTAGTTCATTTTAAAATGTGTGAACTGAACTTTGAACTAGTTCACGTAGAAAGAGAACTTTCCCAACACTGGCAGCAGGACCCCATGCTGTCAGGTTGCTCGGGCTCCTGCTCAGCCTGGTGTTTGAGTAGGTTTTTGCTTCTGACCATTGCAAAAATGTAGACCAGTCTGTCAAACATTAACCCTTGATAAATTTTACAAAATAGGAGGTTTTATGATGTTTTTAAGAGTGAAGGGATTTCTAGTCTGGCAAAATCACAATCCAGCTGTTGTTTTATTAAACTGAACTCGACTTAAGGAAATGTGTGAAGAAAAAAGAAAAATCTTTATCAGGAGAATTCTGTGAGGAGGTGAAATATATTTTACATCACTGTGAATTACTTTTAGTCAACATTCTCGATTGCAGTACGAGCCAAATCACATCAATTTATCAAGAAGCAAGTTTTTCTCCTTCAAAATATATCTGAATATTAATCTGGTGAAGGAAAACATTTCACAGAAAGTGTCTCTCATGAACATAAACTTCTGTCATGTTGGAGCCATCCAAGAAAAACAGGAAAAGTTGGATTTGAATCTTTTCATTGAACCTCTTCTAAAACAGATATGTTTCACTCTGCATGTCTATTGGCCTTTAAACAGCCAACAGAAATGAATAAAATAATATACATAAACATTAGAACTAATTGCTATTTATTAATTAAGTAGTTAATGGGAAAACTAATTCTAAATAAAACAAAAATTAGAGATAGAAATGGGATTTAACACCTTGGTCCTTAACTGGTTTTATGTCATGTAAAAAACAAGCGTTAAAATGGTTTGGTCTTCTAAGAAGTCAAAGCTACTCTAACCTTGGTTAATTCCTCATCGTCGCTTTAAGCAGCACCCGTTCTTCAGTCTGACCTCTAATAAGTGATGTCATCAGCTGTCACCATTACTGGTGGGTTCTCCTCTGGGACAACCCTCTGTCATCAGGAAGCAGGAATGTCCTCTCTCTGGGCTCTGATGACCTAATTTGCTATGCATTTTAAAGAAATCACCAAGCCCTTAAGGAATGCTGCTCCTCTCTTTCTCTTTACATATATGCACTCATCTCTCTGTTGCAGCCAGTCCAAAGCTTACTCAACACAAATAGTTATTCTTATGTTTCTTATCTGATAGCCCCCCACTAAAAGAAAACATGTGTAAATTGACTAATAATGTAATAAATTAAATAGCCATTTCCAAAATCATTAAATATGTAACTAAAGTAATTATTCCAAAATTTAATACATAATAAATATAACCCGATCTTTTATTTATTAATCCTGTTTCATTTACTTTACTATTTGGTGGCTTTAAAACTGTTTACAGTTTGTTTTGGAGCTTCCCGCTCAGTTACAAAGCAACCCCCCATCCAGTCCTCAGCACCACAAACCAAGTGCATTAATCGCATTTTCGCTGAAATGTCAACAAAAGAGGCGAGTGAAGCAGACAAATAGCTGTTTTTGCCTAAGCTGTGAGTACAAAGGGTGCTAAATGCTATCATTTGTATGGTGGGTTTCTGAAGTATGGTGCTTGTGTAGTGTAGCTTTAATAGCCTGTGATTTTCAGTCTGCAGCTGGCCTGACTGCACAAGTTATGTTTCATTAAAGCCTTGCTCTCTGGTCACCCAATACATCACTCTGCAGATGGTGTCTGACTACACTAGCACCCAGAGGGGACAAACTCTATAGAGTGAAAAACTATAGATTGCTAAAGTTTTCTGACTTCATAAACTTTTTAGCATTTTCTCACATTACAACCACAAATGTCATTGTATTTATATATAATGCATGAGTGCAGCAAAGTAGTTTCCTTTGAATTTTCCTTATCGAATTGAGAGACTGAAATATTTACCTGATCTTCCCCAGAAAACAGCTTAAATTCAGTCAGAATTAGAGTTGAGTGAACTTTAAAAGTCCTGCCATAAATATGTTTTTTGAAAATAAGCCTGGAGTTTTACTCTGTCATTTTACCTCATTAATATGCTATCTGTTCATTATTTGATTTATTATTTTATGTGTGGCTATGGTTTTTGTCAAGGTTTGGTTGTGGTTTGAGGACCCAAATGCAGAGGCAGGCAGGCAGAGGTGAGTCTTCTTGTGGATTTAATTAAAGGTAAACAGACAACTGTGGCAGGAATTCAAACATGCAAAAAAATCAAACATGAAAAAAAGTAAAACGAACCAGAAACCTTGGATACATAAGGGGGAAACAATCACGACGAGAAAGACTCAGTGAGACGGACTTGGAGGAAGTTTGACCAGCACTGAGGAACTGCACAAGGAATGTATTTATGGGAGACTGAACAAAAAGAGGACTGACGAGCAGATTGGGAGCAGGTGTGAACATAGCAGACTGGAAAGGAGCTAGGGAAAAAGGAGAACACTAGAGGGCAACAGAGGGCAACAAATTAAAACCTGATAACCTAAAATATAACCAGAAAACACAACAAAATAAGAATTAAACGAATAAAACTAGAAAACATGGAGCAAAGTAAAATTGAATACTCAAAAGAAAACATAACAGAACCAAGACTGTGACAGTTTTTGGTCATCAACTGAAAGGTGGACATCAATCCCAGTTTTGAGTATTTTGAAAGGGACTGCCTACAGTACATGTGTAATTGTTTTTTTTCTGATCAATCTCTAGCATTGCAACATGTACTGTAAGAATGCATTCCTACTCATCTGTTTTCGAATAATAATACTTTCTACACGTCCTTTTTAATGTTTTCTTTTTAGTTTTGTTCAGCTCATTTCTCAGGCAATGACCTAAAGCTTTCATTGTAAGAAGAATTTGGTTTTAATGATTCCACCCTGTTGATTCTGCAATTGACTCCCCATTGTGTGTATTTAATGAGTCCTTTAATATTACCAAACAAGGCTGGTTGGCATAATGTTTTTCAACGACCATGAAAAAACATTATTTACCACAACTGGAACTGTGTGTTTAATTCCAATTATTATATTTGAAAAGCCATATAATTTAATCGGATTGTATATTGCTTAGCTGATTTTTAGTTATGCAGTGCTATAAAGAATTATTTTGTTGGTATACAGAATTTTTATCTTCTTTTATGACCTCACTATTTGTGGCTCTGTTTGGTTGTTCGATATGATCCTTAATAAGGTTCAAGGAGTCACACAGCAAGGGAGATTTTCAAAAGGAAATCAATATTTGTTTATTGTTTAGTCTTGGAAAATATTACTACAAACGAATCAGCAGTGACCATTTTCAGAATAGCAGCATAGGCAGAAAGGTTTTATTATTTACCTGAGAACTATGACAATAGAAAATAATCCTTTGACGCTGCCATTCATATATAAACCAAAATATAATTGTTTGTTAGCAATGTTATTTTGACCAGAAATAGAAAAAAATTGACCTGAGTTGGTATGTCAGATTGAACATAATATAGTTAATTGAACAAAAATATCATGTTTAAGCATTAGGCATTTATTAGGTTATTATTCTGATATCATTTACACCGATTCATAAGGCTCTTTTCTCCAATACTCAAATAAATGAGACTGAGAAAAGAGAGAAAGAGGAGCACAAGAGAGTAGGGGTCCAATCAAAACCAACTCATATATCTAATCCACTTTGTTGATGATGCATCAGTTACAGAGGCACTGGTATTGTGCAGTTTTGCTTCTTACAGTTAAATCTCAATAACATTATTAAGTCTTTTGAACAACCAAATTGATCTTATTTATTAATATAATTCTTTTTTATTGGCAGTGTATGTTTTAGAATTG